AAAAAAAAAAAAAAAAATGAACTCAGGACTGTCAAAGTACGAACTTTTTTTCACTTTAACTCAACTGAATATCTTTGCGATTTTCTTCTTGCAATGTTTGAAATATCGACAACTTTTTCAATCGTTGTCGATTCAGTGATGTGTATTTAATGTAAAAAAATTTTCAGAAACGCGAGTCTTAAAATTCGACGAAACATAGGTGATCGAAATATATGAGATCGTATAAATAAAAATATTCGAGATTGGAACATTTCGGCTGAGAAAATATTCCTACCTAGGATAGAACAGACGTTTCCCAGCATCGAGTAAATGACGCGTGATATTCGATTCGTCCTCTGGGGAAGGATAATACTTCAAGCTGTCTGCCCATAAGACCAAATTCTTCGGTGTCCAATCGATGGACGAGCCATAAGAAGATTTGATCGATCGAAATGCGTCTAGTATGACAGGTGCCATTTGCGCGATCCAAGATTCGATCATAACGTGATCCCCTTTCAAAGAGTCCCTCAGATGCAATTCCAAGATAGCCATTATGTCCTTTGAACTTGGATATCTATTTACGAAGTAAACGAATTTTTTTTCAATATTAAATTACCCTGTGCAACTTAATGTTATTAAAATTCAGACAGAGTGCCATCTTACTATATTTTTATGATTATTGGAATATTTCTCAGAGGAGGATCCATAGATAAAATAATTATAAGAATTCGACAATTAATAGTTCGAAGAATTTATATTTACAAAAATATATATCTTGGATCTTTCTCTAGAAAGATTCTCTCAATTGGAACAATATTGGAACATGTAAGTTTGAAAAAATTCCGATAAATTGATTAAACTATTGAGAGAGAATAATTACGGGAGATAGTGAGTGGACAAGAGAGCTTCGAGTCTCGGATGCAATCGAGTCGTCGCGTCTGCTGTGCATAGAATCGTTAGTGGGACTCTTGCGAATTCCAGATCTTCCTCGTGGAATCCTCCTTCCTGAATCAATTCTCGCGCCAGTTCCTATGTAAATCGCATTCTCGTGTAACGTATTAACACAATGATCTCGAACGGAAGATTAAAGACTCGACAGACGAAGCAAGCTACCTGCAAGTCGTTCGATGCAAGATGCACATCCTCTAAGATCAAAACGACTCTAGATCCGTTTCTAGGTTTGTACGTTCTTCCATGGGAGGACGAATTTAGTTGCACGCAACCCCGTTTTAACTTGGTCACCAGATCTTGAGGTCCGTAGAGAGACGAACCTTTTATCAAAGTCGATTGCTCGACGTTCCGTATCGAAGAAAGTATGACAGATATCAGGGTGCTTTTCCCACAACCCTCTGGCCCTCTTATCATAATCGACTGGTTGTTTCTCATCCATGGCAACACAGACGACAATGCTCCTCTCATTGCGCCTGAATTAAATTTGTCGTTGAACGATCAAGATTATTTTATGTTTCATGATTAAATTGTACAGATTACCCAGTTTACCGTGAATTTAATTAGTGTACCTGACAGTGAGACGGGGCCATCGTCAGTGTCCGTGGATTCATCAGAGTCGCCAATAGCTTCCAATCTGTCTGCATCTTGATTATATACTACGAAACACGGTTTCTGTGGATCTGGGCACCTGGAATTTCAATGTTGGTCACCTTCTTCGCGAAAACGAAAAATGTGAATATTAATACATTATCTGAATGTATGTTAATTACAAGAATTTCTGAAAATTTAGATTATTAACGAAATCTTCTTCTAATAGAAGAGAATAACTTTTTGTTGTTTCGTAACCCTTTGACTGTTTAATAAAATAATATAATATATCAAATAATAAATTCTAATATAATGTAAAATAATTATTCTACTAGGTTCAAAATTTGTATTCTTAAAATATGGAATAAATATTATATATGGAAATTTATACATGCATATTTGAAGGTAAACGTACGTATTCTTAATTTATTATATTTTCCTCATTCAAGTATTAAACTTGGTTAAGGTTAAAAAAACATCGTAAAGACTATGTTAAAACGTTCAAACCTCGTCTGAAAAAAATCTTCAAATTCTATCTACCTTTGATACTTAATAAAATAAAATTGATAACTTTCCTACCGGTAGTCAGTAAGCTGATAAGTCTTAGATGCTTAATGATAAAATTGTCTAATAAAATTTGCTCGTTGATAATGAAGTTGATAAGTTTCCTACCAGCAGTCAGTGAGTTGATAGATCAACCGTGCTAATTTATCCCTGGAGTTTTCATTGCCTATTTGATTGCACAAAGATGCGAGGAGAGCGTAAGAAGCGGAAGTGCAGGTGCGAGAGCCCTTCAAATGGCAAAACGTCGAGTCCATTAAGCCCGACGCTGACGAAACGTCCGCGTTGATCTTCAGACACTCCTCGACGCACGAACAAAGATGAGAGTTTGCGAGTTCCTTTGCTGCCTCAGGGATTGCATTCAATCGCGACGACACCAGCAAAGATTTAGGACTCGTCCAGCCCAAATGAACCACCCCTAATCGCGACACCGTTGCAGGACTCGCGTCGTCGAGCTTGTGAGTTTCGAAAATGAACCTGTTCGAGAAATTCGTGAGAACGAATACTATACAAAGCTACTGCCACTTCATGAAATTAATTGCATTTTATTTTCGAGTTCTTTTTATTAATTTATAAGCTATAGAATTCAAGTGCGTTTCCTTCCAATTTAAAAAGAGAGATTTTGCGTGCTATTTATATTTATTTCTAAAAGCATTGCACGTATCTTTGTTTTCCATATTTTATTTTCACATGTGGAATATATATTTGGACAAAATTAATTAATGATACTTTTCTTTCATTTGTACTTCATTCGATTTATATCTGTTAATTAGTTAAATAGTTTGATCGGTAGTTTCAATTTTATAGGTTCGATTTCATATTTTTGAATATACAATGATAAAAAACAATTAAAATAAATCTATTTGTACGAGTAAAAGCTTTAAAAAATTCGAGATTCGTCGTGTGTTTTATCTTCGTGCAAGTATTGTTTTTTGATATTAATGACTTCGCTAAGACTGGATAACCTTTGAAATACGAATCGTGAATAAATGACGTGAAACAGAACTTTACTTTGTCCTAGGACCGAGTCTCACACCCACGCCGTTCGGCAAAGTCAGCAATCGATTGTCGTCTAGAGCAGAGTTTAGAGCCTCCGCCCAATCTGGTTCTACGTCGCCGTTCAAAATAATCCAAGTTGTAGAATCGCCAGCCGATACAACTGCGCTGGATAACAGACCTTCCTTCCATTCTCTGAAACAAATACAGAATAATATGTTTAAACGTAGAATTCAACTATGAATCAAAGAATTTAATCAGAAATAAAAAATAAGTTAAAAGAAACCATTTTAAGTTGTATAAAGAGCATTAATGCAATTTTATTTGAGAATATACAATTCTTAACATTAAAGTATATCAATATACGTAATCAAAAATATATGTATATTTATGCATTAAATTATAAAATATGGAAAAATAAAGTTGAAGACTGTATTACTATCTAACTAATTACTATTTAAAATTCTTCTTTTGCAATTACATATTTAACGTTAATTTTAAGTATGACGAATTGAATGAAACAAAATAAATATTGACAGAATGAATTAAAAAGTTTTCAAGATTGCATTTTGAATGATTTTTTGTAAGACAACTTGTGTTCTTTATTCTACCGCAAACTTTTCCCTGATTTTTGTAATAATTTGTTTATTACATTGCAAACTTTTTCCTAATTCCAGCACCTTAGTTTCTCTAATGCACGTTTCATTTTAATCGTCAATAGTTCTAAGACGGTACCTGGTCTGTGGATCGACACGACCCAAAAGCCTCGATTTCGGCATCGCCCCGGGAAACACGTGAAACTGAACGATCGTTTCGCCGATTTTCGTTAGCGCGTCGCACAGAAGCTTCCTGATGGTGGTTTTACCGCACCCCGGTGGCCCGACAATCGCCACTCCAGTTCTGCTTTTCAACTGGTCGTTCAGCTGAATACATCTGTTCGCCATTTCCTTGCCCAGTTCTTGTTCAGCACAAAGTTCGAGCAGAGCGTCTTGCAGATCTTGCCTTTCGATCAACGTGGACAACGACGGGTCTGCTCTTGGGAAAACGTCCTCCAGCAGAGAGAGGAATCGTGCAGTGTCTTCCTCTGTCAGTTTCGGTAACGTCGATGCCCTGATCGCGGCCACTAGTCTTAAAACGCGAATTATATACAAATGAATTATAAAAATTAATTATACGAATGATAGAAATGGTATTTATATCGTGGAAGAATTTCCAACTTTTATATGACAAATAATTAATTAGTTAGTAAAGTATAAAGTTCGAGTGGTAATATGAAGGTATGTTACTTCACACTAGCAATAAATAGTATAAAGTAAGTAACACGGAATTTTTAATTGCAAAAATTGATAAAACAAACTGATAAATTTTTTTTAGATATAAACTTGTACAAAATTTCGTCATCAAGCAACAATGTAATGTCTATAATTTTGTCTTGCAATTTTGTCCAAATAATTCATACTATCGAGTGCCAATTAATCATAGTAACTTTCCGTCATACTTCTTTCTCGCTCTGCAATTTCATAAAATTTGGCGAAATTGATACAGTTGAGTATCAACTTATGATTGGTGGCTTACCTAATTCTTTTTCGATTAATTTCGTACAAATTTAAGGGGGCATTAACCCTTTGCACTCGACTGCCTCTTCTGAAGAAATATCGTATTTGAATTTATCTCGGACTTCCTCTTTCTATAATTTGCTGATAATTATAACGAACATGTACATTTAGTGTTGTATGATGCGATGTACAATGATATAATATCTGAACAGATGCCTACAGTGAAAGCTATAATAACGACGTAAGAGGAAGAAATTTCTTAAGACAGTCCTGAGTCAATTGACACTCAATAACTTTCACATAATTCGGAATAATTCACATAAACTAGAAATTACGAAAGTTCAAAAAATGGTGAAGGGATATTATTTTTCCAGAGATTGAAACTATGTAACATTAGCTCTTGCATGTTATACTTGTTCTAGCAAATCCACAGTGTTGATGATTCCTTTAAATTATATATTAGAAATACATATTAGAGTTACATATTATAAAAATATAATCAAACAAAATTTCGTGTGAAATACTATTCGAATGATTATTTCCAATGTTATATCATTTTGTTTTACGAAGTGAAATAGTTTGTCGAGGTCAAAGGGTTAAAACACAATAATCAGAGGGGTAATAGATACTAAACATCCCTCGCGGTACATAATTCTATGCAAAGAATTTTTCTCGGTAAGATCCCTCGCGGTACATAAGGTATGCAGAGAATTTTTCTTGGTAAAAAAAATGAAGCTAAGAGAAAAACAGAAAACGAGAAATTGAATAATCAGATAATATAAGAATTTACAAAAAGTCGATTTTGAAGTAAATTTTGAAAAGGGGTCATTTGACCGCGCTTGGTACGTTTAATTAACAA